GCAGTTACTTCAGTGTGCTGTCTGTAGTCTACAGGCTGGACTTCCTTATACATCTTTCAGCATGGAGAGGCTGGTGGAAGAACCATTACCCCTGTTTTTCTTTCGATGTGGAATTCTTCTGGACAAGGCAGCTACCACCAACTCACTTTCTCAAAAACAGTAACAGTCACCTCCTTACACTGTCACGCAGGAGTATGAAGCAGCTCAGGATGTGTGTGTGATCTTTACTGACACTGCTGTTTAAAAAAAAAAAAGTTTTCTAGGTGTGGAGTCAATGTTACGCTTTCAATAGCTCAGAGCACCTCTAACTATAAGGCAAATCCTTTTGCAGTGGCCCAGGAGAAGCGTGACAAGACAGAAATCTTAGATTTGTGTGACAGGTATGCATACTGAAAAAACAGCAAAGAAAAAAGCAAGCTAACCAAAAGAACACACAGGATGCCATTTTGTGTCTTACAAAATATAAATCTAACATTGCATTATTGCCACCTCGCCAGATTTTAGTCAAGCTGCCTGAAATATGTGACTATTGGGCACGTAAGGGAAAGCACATAAACGAATACAACCTGACAGTAGGTTAGTCAGGGAGAAAGTAGCCCCTTTGTTTAACCTTCCATATTCATTAACAGGTTTTCATCCTGCATCTTTTCTCTTACTGCTCTTTTCATTTCCTCCAAGGTAAAAGTAGAAAAGCTTAAATTACTGAATCATGTTGTTCTTGAAATTGGGAACAAAAAAACCCTGCAGTACTTCATTTTTGTATTTTAGCAGTAACTCCCATATTGTCCAGGAGTTCATAATAAAATGATCTGCAATTTGCACATTACCTGTACTACCCTCATTAAAGTTCTGACAAGTGGTGTGTGATGATCCATGTTACATTTTGACAGTGGATAGTGGTCAAGAAAGTAGGCAAAACTGATCTAAAACCCAAGGGTTTGTTTGGGTTTTTTTCTCCAAAATGCAGAAAAAAGTCAAATGCTTTTGCTAGCTATAGGAGAAAAAAAAACAAAACATGTGTAGAAGTAATTATTGAAACTAGAGAATGTTTGAAAAAAGTCTTTCCAGTACTCTTTATCGCTATGTTGAACAAATTGCTCTTCAATCTCTGAAGTATCTTACTAACTTTGAGTGGTGAGGGGAGTAAAAGTGAGCTAATCTAGGAAATGCATTATTATCATGAAGGTATTTTTTCTTTATGAAAGTGTTAGAAAACTAGTAATTACTAAATGATTTGGTTAAAGACCTTACTTAGTATTGTTCTGTCTTGCTTGAATCGTATAGCCATTTTTGTCTCTTGCCCTCTCCTCCCCTTGGTCAGCTTGATTTTAAAGCCTGGATTGTATCTGAAAGGCTTAATGCTTGAATTCATCTGGAATTTACATGGTAATTTGTAGTCATAAGAAGTACACACAGCTATCAGTGAAGCAGTAATATCCGTCACTGTGCAGTGTGTCAGCAGAAATCATAAAATTTCCCTTGAGCAATAGAAACTTCAAAGGAATTGTTACTTATTTAAAAATAATAAACAACATGCCAACAATTCAATCAAAACATGGAAAACCATGAATTTGTATGCATTACTTTAACTGTATTTTGAGCTGTTTCATGAAATTCAGAAATTGGGTTTTTTGGATATTCTGTAGACTTTCTGTGTAAGAGAGACTAGTTCTCTGCATGCTAGCTTGAACACAGTGTTTGCTTAGCTCTACCAGTAGAAGAAGCGACCGTTAGAAGACCTACCACTGTACCATATTTTTTGCACTCTCTAGATCTCTAATATTATGCTAACTGACAATTTCTGCAGAGTCGGAGAAATAAATAATATGAAAAATTCAACTTGTCCAGGAAGTGGTTCCTTTACAGTGCCTGTGTTAGTAGATTTTTTTTTTTTTAATTGCACCAGTTCCTTCCCCCGCCTCCCGCCCCTGGCAATTTTGGCTGTGTCCGTGGTGTGTATTCCAAATGTGGGCATGCTTTCATTTATGTTAGTAGTTTCAGAAGGTAAGTAGGTAAGTGTCCGCCCTCGCACTAGGAACTGCATGTGGCAGCTTATGACATATACCACCTTCCAAAGTCGTCACCTGTTTGGCAGAAGGTGATCATAAACAAGTATCTCTGATCTTCAAAGCAGTGCAAAGAAAGTGAGATTTCTTGCCTTTGTGACTATGTACATTAGGGAATTTAGTACAATTGTTGAGAAGTTGATCATAAAAATACTGTGTTTATATTAGCTTGTCTTCATCTTCAGATTGACAATTGTAGCTCTCCTGTAACTTTATAGAATGCTGTCAAGGAGGGGGGAAAAAACAACAGCTTTGTGTTTTTATGGTTAGGTATTTATATATGTATTGACTTAACATAAGATGCTAGGCTAACACCTTTGTAGCCTGCTGGTTTTCTGGCTTGTAAGTAAAAACAAGTAAATAACATTTCTAAAACAGCTCTGAAGCAAAGTTAAGGGTTTTTTGTGTAAACATTTCAAAGAAGCTGTTCATGATGCTCAGCAAACTAGATGAATGGATCTCTTGTTTACTTTTGTAAATCCTGGGACAGAATGCAATATTATCCAAGATACATTATTATCTGATATTTTTGTTTTTCTCTTAAAGCAGAGGATGTCACATGCTCTTACTGGATTTAATTTAGTGATTTATAGACAAATCTTTCAAAGAAAATATCTGAGAACTATTTATTTTAAAAGCCTGAACTGTTGTGTATGTAGCTTTTTGTTAACGTTCTTGTGGATGTCTAAAACGATAAAACTTCCGATAACCAATCTGAAAAACTATTTTGGTTGTAGTGAGTCTTTCCTATCCATTTCCTACTACATCTGCCTATGCAGCAATTTTTAAAATCTGGCAATTTGCACAAGTAATGGTATATATTAAGTCTTGTAATCATGTACAGACGGAAGTTTTAAAGGTGCAAGTAGCAGAAGGGGCTCTGTGACGTTGGGTATGTCTTATCTGGAGTTAAGGCAGTGGCTCAAGAAGCTCCATCGTACACTTATGAGACACAGACAATGACAGTTCTCCATCTTTGTCTAAACACAGTTCAGGATTCCCTTAGAGCAATTGGTGAGTCAGGGGCCATTTCAAATAAAATCAAACATGATGCTTAAATTTGAAGACTTGCTGTAGGGCATGCAACTCTCTATTTCTTCTCTTACATTTTAGAATTCTATCAAAATAAGGTGGCAACCCATCAGTTTGATGCCTCGGACTCAATGAATAAGGAACAGGGTTGTACCCAGAGCATGTGAACTTGTTCATCCTGTGTGACTGGAAGATAAAAGAAGTCCTATACTGAAACACCAAACTGAATTTTTTCTTTTTTTTCTTTTTTTTTTTTTTAAATAAAATTGCTACTATCAAGAGGTAGATTCTATTTAGAAGCTCTCTAGTGGTTCACACTCCACTGTGTCTTCTACAGGTCAATAAGAGTTGGATCAGGCCTCTAACAGAGCTGAGAGCATCAGGAGGGGGTGAGGAAGACAAGTAGTTTCTGCCATAAGCTGGGCGTTCGTAAAACTAAAAGCTCACCGTGCCTTTAAGTATCCATTTTTCCCTTGCTTCCCCCACCCATCAGCTGCCTGCCTTTCACTTGAGAACCTGTGAAACAGGAAATTGCTAGTTGAGGCATGGTTCAGAGAATTTCCCATCTTAAAATTTCTCAAGGTATGATTTGGTCTCTGTTTGAATGTTTGTGGTTGTATATTTGTTTGTATAAATATCTCAGTACTGCTAAAGTCAGTTTGTGAGCAGTTCTTCTCAATGAGTCCTGTGGTAGTTTACTCTTGTGAGGAAAGTTTAAGCATAGTGTTTCTTTCCATGGATATGTAGCCCCAAACTGGAAACCAAGTGAGAGGAAGGAAATTACCATTGGTCTCAATGGGAGAATAGCCTCTTGGGAAAGGGTGCAGCAAAGGGCAGCTTCACTAAGGATGGGCGATATCTTCCAAAGCCTTGTGATGTTTAAATAGGTACTTTTCCTATCAGTAGTAGATACACAAAATTTCACTGTAAGTTGTGGATTTAAATCTTCATACAACAGAATCAGTGTTTGTCCAGTGGCTTCTGGAAAGTTCCTTTAATATTCCTCAACCAATTAAAAAAAATAAAAATCCACTTCCCCCATTGAATTCACATGTTCATATCTAAGCATCCAAGTTTACCACTTTACTAGAGTCTCAATAGCATGAAAATATCTATGCAATTGGCACTATTTTAAAGACAGCAAAGTTTTGTAAGTATGTGGATACATTTTTCTTCTCAAGGGTAGTCTATATAAAAATGAGCGGGGCATAATTTTAAGAAATTTATATTGGTCCTGCTCAGGGTATAGTTGTTCCCTGTACAAAAAGGAGGACAAATGTTTTATTATAAAATTTAAATACTATTGTTGCCAATCATGTCATTGGTTCTTTTTTTTTAATAAGTGATTGGCTTTGCTTTTATTACACATCCCTTCAATGCAGACACATTTCTAATGAATAATCCCACCTTGCTAAGGACCTGAACCTGCAAGTTACAGAATGCCATCTGGAGACACTTTCTGCTCAGCTCTTGGCAGGATCGAGTCCTGTTTTTAATGGATCAGTTTGGATAAGCTTGCAAAGTTTGAATGCTTATCAGAACTCCTTTATTCAGGAAATTGGGGAAGAAACAGGTTTTCTTGCAAATTCAGTGTTGTTCCTAGTTTCTGCTGCATCAGCCCGTGCTAAAGGAGACGTCCTGCACTGTTCATGCTTCTGTTCTCTCTGAAAACGTAATTGGATGCAATATGCATCATTAGTGAAGAACAACTCTTACCTATCTACTGTTAAGCCTCTTTTATGAATCAACTGAATTTTTTCAAGTGTATTTCTATTTAGGGTTATTAATTTTGCAATGTAAATGCTAACTGTCAGTGGTCTGCAAAAAATACTGGGGAAAATAAAAGCAGGATGATTACAATTTCGGTCTCCCCGTTGGAGGAGTTTGGTTTTGAATACTGCCATGCGTGTGGGTGGTTTGGCAGCGTACAAAAAATGGAGATCTCGGCAGCAGCTGGAGAGTCAGGAACACGAAGCAGGTGAGGAGAGGAGAGCGTCAAGTGCACGAGGTGGATGTGACTACGGGTTGAAGAGCGGCCTTTTCTGTCGCCAAATTCCTGACTAGTCACTTTCTCCAGCTCTTCTTTCTGTTGCTGTCATAGTTTTCCACTAGTTGTGTAAAACATGAATGTTTTGTTAAAATTGCAAGGTGTCTGGCAAAAAGCAGAAATTATCGGATGGTTTGTTTTTTGTTTGGGGGTTTCTTTTTCCCCAGTCTTAGTCAAACCAATGACTATGACCTCACTTTGTCAAAAATGACACAGCTGTGTAACCAACATGAAGGTGCCTCAGAACGTGGTCACGTGACATTTGTTCCTTAACAGCAACCCCCGCCTCCGAAGGTCCCTTCCCAGTCGCTGTTACCAGCCCTGCACTGCAGTTTGCCCCAGCCATCCCTCAGCGATACTGATTTCACTGTTTACAAGGCCGTGCTGGAAACTGAGGCAAAGTCATGGAAGTAACCTCAGTTAAAAACAAACCAACCAACCAACCAGCTCCCCTGCTGCCCCCCAAAGAAACCAACCACAACAACAGAAAACCCCCAAACTTCCAGAAGGAGGTAAAGGCCACTTCCAGACAACTTTTATGGTAATTATTCACATGCAATATTGTGTAGCAAGCTGAAAAATAGTTAAGAATGACATCATTTTAATATGAAATTAAATGCGAGAGCAGATGATACAGTGCTTGTATTATTGGGTAGCATACTGAATTCAATTAAAACTTGTCTTGTTAATAAATCTTACATCATTGCTGGCTGCTGCCGTGAAGAATCCTGAGGTTCTTTTGTAAGGAGGTCCCACCTGTTCATAATGGTGCCTTGGGAGCTGGGTAGCTGATGCACAACACAGTAAGATGGTTGCATCTTGTGAGGTTGACTGGAGATTGCTATCACAGGAATAAAAACCAAGTTAAAATTACAAAAACCTGGCACCTCTAAAAGCTTATGAGCCTTAGAAGTGACCTATTACTAACTTCTTACTGCCTCTAAGTAATTGTTAATTTGGTTGCCAGTTAGATTTTAGGTTGGGTGTGTTGGACAAATTGCTGTTGGTCTTCATCACAAGCTCTCTTTTTGTACTGTTCCTGTATTGATGCAGCAGCTGTTGCTGGGAATCAAAACACCTGATCCACACACAATGCGGAATAATATTTTTTTTCAAGATAACACTTTTGAATGATGTGTTACCTGTGCACACATCTCTTTCCTAATGGAGCATGGTCAAAAAGGAGCAAATCTCTGCACAGTTGGCAAGGCTAAAAAGGAAAGAGCATCTACCAAATGATACAATTGGTAGATTATATAGGAAAATAACCCACGCTCTTTTTTCATTCTAAAGAAAACTCTTACCAGGGTTTTCTCATTTGATTACACTTCATACACTTCTTTTTTTTTAAAGGTAGTGTATTTTACAAATCACGTCATTATTTACAGAAACTTTTAGGAACGAACTTCTGTCTTATATATTAATTCTTAAGTTCAGAAATACAAAGATTATCTTATTGAACTAATCGCTCCCTCTTAAGCGCAGCTTTGAAATGTTTCCATCACGCTTATTCAGTAGTGTAGGAATCATAGCTAAGGAATGTGTTTAAATTCAGTGTTTAAAGTAATGATAAATAAACAATAAATACTGTAAGGGTTAAAAATTAAACTTTTAACTACAATCTGCTTGCTTTGCAGCCTTAATACGTGGGCTACGATTCCTGCTCTACATTAACATTCAGGAAGTTTTTCACCATGAACATGTAATCGTTTGTATTAGAAGCTTAACTGTTGTATGCGAAATTAGAATCATGCCTATGGGTATTTAAAATGGAAGAATAATACCAGATAATGACTTCAGTGTAACTAGTAAAATTACATCAGGGAGAGTATTTCGGATTTTGCAGATTGGCCAAATTTATATTGATGAGAAATACACAAGATTTAGCTCAGTAAAATTTAATGAAAGCAAGCATATATTGAGGAAATTAAAGTGTACAGGCTTATTTGTTGCAATGTGTGGAAATTGGTTAACGTTTTGGAGAAACAAAGTTCTGTTTTATGGAAATTTCTGATTATTTTTCTGAAACATTGTTACTTCTTTTGACATAAACAGTTACATGGTCTTGCAGATAGGTTTCTTTAGTAAATTAAATTTATCGAACTTGCTGTTTCTTCACAAACAAACATCTTTCTTTACCAGGAGTATACAGAGGTATATTTCTTATATATACACACACCTACTCTAAAGAATACCCAGCGCATTACATTGGGCAATGTCAGTAGGCTCTAGCATTCAGGCCCTGGCAAAATTCATTTGCGTTCATCATCTGGCTTGCCATGTGAGCTATGATTTATATCATAGGTTTTGTTTTAATTTCACCAAGAAATACAACTGCTTCTCACTTCTATCCCCAGGATGTGGTGTAACTGCGTCCTCCAATTTCAGCAAAGTTTTGCTTAATCTAAACTGTCAGGTGCTATAACTAAATTCTTGCTGTGAAAGGTATGAGATAGAGCATTTTGGATCTTGATATTAATTGCAAAGAACTGAGAGGTTCAAGATGAAAATAGGATCAGTATTTTGGACTTCCTAGTAAAGATACGGAATCTGAAAAGTTTAGAATAGAATTAGTTAATTAATTTATTTATTTGTTTGTTTGTTAATTAAGAGAATTAGTTTGAGAACTTACAGTAAAATATCGGACACTTGAGAAGTGTTAAAAAAAGAGAGATGGAGATTCAAACACACCCGTGCTTTAATGAACCAGATACAACTCTCAGGCAATCAGTTGATGCATGAGTGCTAAAATAGAATGAGATAAATCTCATTTTTAAAGTTGGACAGTTTATTCAGAGATTGAATCCAATTAACAGCATGTGTGTATGTTTTACTAACATAGAAATAGTATAGCGAATGAACAAAAAGGTAAGCCTAATAATGTTATCAGTAGAACATCTGCAAGGAAGTAGAACAGAACAGCATGTTTTAACCAAACAGCTCACAAAGCAGTCCTCTGATATATCAAAGCTAATTAGGACAGGGTCCAACAATTACAAAAGATATTTAGTTGTAAAGAGATACCCAGAAATGTCTTGTCTTATCTCTTAAGCAGATCATTGAAGGCTTCCTGTTATATTTCTTCATGACTTCTTTTCAGGAAAATCTATTACCCTCTCCTCAGGAGGAGATTGAGACCTACCAGAACAATTCATTTGGCCTACTCCCAGCCACCCTGTCTTCTGGGATACAGCCGGGGAATAATAATAGCCTGCATGAACAGTTCTTGCAATAGCAGTCTGCTCTGACTGTTGCCTTTCCTCATTTTCCTCATCGCGCTACACAACGTAGGTTCAGAATTTTGATCCAGTCAAATCTGTTGCGCATGTGCAGACAAACTTCTGAATGTATCAGGGAAAGCATCGCAGCACAAAGCTGAGCCATGAGTTTTGTCACAGCGGCAAGTTTGGGTACTGCTGGCATAGCATGGCCTCAAATTCCCAAGGAAAAGATAAAAATTATCTGTAACAGTTAATGTAGGGAGAAGAAGGGCTGGCAACATACAGGAAGTTTCTCAAAGTCTTTCTGTCAACACCATCTTTTGCTTTCATATGATTTTGCTTATGATAGTGGCTTGATAGTCTGGGGCACAATCCTTAAACAAAACCGCAGCAACTCTTTTTACAGTTAAACAAAGTCTGGATAGAATAGTCCTCCAGTTGCTTATTGGGGGAGTCTTTTTTTTCCTGTACATAGGAAAAATGGGGGGGCGAGGCATAGAGAGAATTAGCTAGCCTGTATCCCAGACTGATGCCTAAAGGTATCATTGTTTCTTTTTACACATATATATCAGTATTTTAAAAATAACTTTTCAGCTGCACCTATTCTCGTGCTCTCAGCTGGCGCTTGTTCTTTTGTCCTTTCTTGGCCTTCCTCCACAGCCTTCTAATGGAAACCACTGCACAGTTCTTGTTCTCCTCTCAGCCTTTGGTTTTCTAAATCAAATTTACCACTCTTCTTGGGAGAAATGTGTGTGCTCCACAAGTATGTTTTCCTGGGCTTCCTCCTTGTCACACTGTAAAATTGATGCAAAGCATGTCCTGCCGTTTTTCTAAGCGGAGGGAGAAATTGTATAATCTCTCCAGAACAGATGCTTCATTGCCACTTGACCTGTATACTCTCTGCTCTTCTGAAGTCCTTACTTTTTAATGAAAAGTGTTTTGGTCTAGCAAAAGGCAGATAATGTCTCTGTGTTTTTCATGTGGGTTTTTGCCCCCGCTTTATTTCAATTTATTCTTCAGTAATGAAGCAACTGAATACAATATTTAAAAATCAGTTTGAAATCAAGCGAACTTCATCCAAGCTCAAAATCGTGACAGTCAGTTCTAACATTTGCAAGTACACACTGAAGAAAAATATTTTGACACCTAGGCTGTCAGATAATCTGTTAGTAACAGTTATATCATTCAGGCAGAGAAATTATAACTTCCAGAGTAATTTATTGGGAAAATAATACGTTTACTGCAGTGATATACCCTACTGGATGCTAGAAAATTTACTTAGCATTTTTGCAGGGGAAGTAGTTGGCTTCAGAACACGGGTTATTCTCTTGTGACAAAATCACAGAAAAAGAACTACTTGCCAGACATCATCAACGAAGAGTACATACCTGCAAACAGCAGTATGCTCACATACAGTTAGGAAGCATTAGGAACCTCATGCTGAAGGATGTACCGCACAGAGAAAAGGGAAGGAGTGCTCGGGATCGTACTCCTTAGAGAAGAGGATCGTGGGGCAGAAAGGGTCATACACCAACTGCCTTACCTGGAATAATTTTTAAAAGCTAGAGAAGTTCTTGGCGCTGTTTTGCTATGCCTGGAAAAACGGCGCTGTCTTTGGGCAGAGGTGTTTCCTGGCGTGATGCAATGGCTGCTCCGCAGGGCTTTCACAGCTGTTAGTTTTACATCTTCCAGTTTTGCTTCACTGACATT